CGATGGTCTCGATCCTTCCGCTTCGAAGGCTGACGGCAGACTGAGCAGCGTATTCCCTCTGGTCTGTTTTAAATCTCCCAAATTGAAACTGTTCCAATGATTACTGCGTAATTTCCAATGTTCCTCCCGTTGAAATACCATTCGATTTCAAGTACGGAGTCTGTGGCAATGTTTTCCAGCTTCGATAACAATTATTTGCAATAATTGTTACTAAAGCGTTCCTTACTGTACCGTAAAGTAGAGAAAATTCCAATGAATTTTGTCTTTACTTTAAGGTCCTTTCCTTTAGCTACATTCTCATATAATTTTTGTTAACATATTCGTTCTAGTTTAAGAGCTATTAAACATTATAAGAGAGCGTCTCCTATTCATCGTTGTCGTATATAGTTAAGTGTTATAAACAATTACTAATATCTAATAAACCACACTACTCACAGCTACCAAACTAATTGCAGAATATAGATAAAAGTCCATTCTACATTCTACATTGCTTAAAGTGCATTATTTATCACGCATTTCTATTGAAATAACGAAAATGTGGTACAAAACTTTACTCCTCGTAATTAACAATATAAAAAACAGCCTAGTTAAAAAACAATATGGTAGCAAAATAAAATATATATTCTTAAATATTAAATTCATTATATACAATAATATACAGAGGCCTTTGAAAACGGAAACGCCAAATCTATTCATCAAGAGGTCGACATTGACAGGAATTTCTACGGATCGATAATTTATTAACTCTTTGACTACGAAAGGCGTATGTACACGCTCTCACAGATTTATCAATAGTTACGAAAGACGTAAATATACGCTCTCTACATTTTTCTTACGGTAACACCTTATTTAATTTTTTTAACTTGGTCAATGAGCGCAATCGAAGGGTTTAAATGAATTACCTTGGAAATGTCGACTTTTATTTTCAATAAACTTAAAAAAAATGTGTATACATTTGATTAACTGAGATAAACTCGTTCTTTTGAGGCCTCGCAATGATGTTCCTCCTATTTAGGTCCTTCACAAGTATAAATACAGCCTTGATCGTGGGATTTAATTCTTTTGGTCGTGCTCCATAGTCTGTTTCATTAATGAAGTAAAAGTTGTTTATTTATTAAAATAAAATTGTACAATTAAAAGTAGAATAAATAAAAATGATTAATTCATCCAGTAAGGTAGTAGACATGTGAATTATTCGGTTTAAAGGGTTCATTTAATTTTTATTAGGTCTCTATGGAAGCGATTACAACCAAAGCAATTGGTTTTATTCAACTATAAAGCACCGATATCGGCACGGTTACATGTTTCATTTATCCAAACAGATCTTTTAACAATACGTCACTCAAAACACGTTCGGCATTTGTACAGAAAGTATAATAAATAAACCACGTGTTTGCTTTCATCGTTTCGTCTCTGTTGTTACTGAAAACGAACAAACATAACAAAAGACAGTCACTATTATCATATCAAATGAATAAATACATGTTCTATAACTTCTATACATATGATAGGAAAAAGTAAGGAAAACATGCTGTCCATTTTTTTCTAATTATCGTCAAATCTTGGTGATGCTACAATGCCCATAGGTCTTGACAGTAATCCTACCTGAAAAATATAAATATTTGCAAAATTAATTAGAAAAATTTTATTACTCTTTGTTGAATGATACTTCACATTTTTAACCCTTTGCGGTCCAAATAGTCCAGTTAGTCCGCACTCATTTGATCACTTTCGGGCAGTACCATGTAGTTTCCCTTTATTTCAATATTTCAGCGTGATATTAGTTACAAAATACTAAGTTTCGGTGTAATATTAACACGTAAAAAAACGGTTTATCATCATTTGTAATTTATCATTTATCATTATATGTGCTGTAACCCGTCGGTAAGGCGAAGCCCTGCGCTATCGACTGCGTGGAGGCGCTTTGAGGCCCGCGCCCTCATTTTCAATTGTTCTAGAGGCAGTTCTGTTTTTCCAACGCGCTTCGATCCAATGTAATTTTATTAAGAATATATATATTAATCTAAGTGTATCTTTGCGTTTATATTTCCATCGATATCCAGCACCACAAAATAACAATACGATATCTGAAGGGAAAAATTCTTATGTCCAGACTGACTCGACATAGGACCGCAAAGGGTTAATACTGAACTTTCCACGGCAGCATCATTGAAAAGCAATTACACAGAGTGCGGCAGCGAGGTAAATTCTACATTGAAAAATTTATCTCACTGATAATATTATCTTACTAATTTCGTGTAATTTTTCGTTGAACAATACTTTGCGTCCCTTTAAACGCAATGGAGAGTTCTGAAAAAATCGCGACCCTTATTTTATGAATTCTCTTATCAATTTCTGACACTAACAAGTGTAAGTCTTTTTCACGAACAAATTTTATTCTACATTTTCAGCTTATCTTTGCACGCGGAATCACTCTTTGCCCGATTGTACCACGTACGTTTATTATTTCGTTTATAAAGTATTCTGAATTTGTAACAATAATTGTGTGCTTTGTGTTCAACTAGCATATCGAACAGTTGCGACGACTTTCTTCCGAAGATGCTTTTATTATTACGATAGAAGAAAATGTTTTATTCAGAAAGGAACAAGTGTACTTACAGATAGATGAGGATCTGAACGACCAAAGCGTAAGCGCAATGAAGGTGATCGCTGAGATTTGCGGATCATTAAATGTTCAAACGGAATTTCACCGTAACCAGCATTTTCTAAAGCGTTACGTTGCATAAGAAGTCTGTAAAGCTCTTGAATATTTTCTACCGGCGTTTTCTCTTGTATTCCATCTGTAAATTTGATACAGATCAATGAAATGGAAAGATCTGTTCCGAAATAATAAGAATGGTAAATGTTTTCTAACGGTAACTATCATTTTGCTCCCTAGCGTCGAAGACAAACTGACTAAACTAATTACTATAACGTGAAACTTAATAAATTCAATATTGATTAGTTTAATACGAAACTAAATAAATTTAATATTAATTAGTTTAACAATTAAACTAATAATTTTCATTCAGTAGATATTATGTGATATATGTAAAAAATATGTTATTTGTAATATATTTAATTTAATATTAGTTTAATAATTAAAATGCAGTAAAATGTAAGTTCTTAATTTCGTTGCAAAACTGATCAAATTTTTAATAGAAATTTAATTGTTATTTAACGTACCTTCGTAGTCTCTGTAGTTTTCGGCGCCGAAAGCAAAGCCAATGATAAAGAAAAGCATGATTGATAGTATGTAGAGTTTGTTTAACATTTTGTCGGTATTCTCTGAAAATAATACAAGATAATGTTAAATTTTACTCTTAATTCTAATTTTAATTGTATTACAGGAATGTTTAAAACTGAAACTGGGCTGAAATTATCAGGGCTCTTCGTTTAACGAAGTTCAGTAGCAATTTAATTAAAACTTCTACTAATTTCGTTCTAATATGCATATGACATCTTAATTAAACATAGCTGCGAAGAAAAATAATTTTGTTCGAAAGTTTTAAACGTAAATACATACTTCCATTACAGACTTTTTAAAAAGTATCTACACTCCATCAAGAATACTGTAATTAATCTCTTTAGAGAAATCAAATATTTTTATTTGTGCGACACGAATATATTTGCAATAGATTTTCTATCAATTGTGTATTACATAGCAAATCATGTCAAGGCTTATTGAGATATTTTATATTTGCCATTAATTATTGTACCGTTTCATTATGGTAATTATTTCTGTCACAATTTTAATTAACACATTTCCATTTAAATACAGGTAGCATATTATTCATTCCTTTTTTCCATCTCTGTCATATTAAAAAATGTGTATGCATATGTTTTTGTTATTATTATTTCAGTTATTTTATTGTTCCTCATTTTATTGTTCCTTATTTTATTATTATTGTAATTCATTTGAATTTATTTTAAAATATACGTCTGCCAATAAAAATAATAACAGTTCACTGTTAAAATAAAATTTCGCTAAATATCAAACGTTACTATGTATACTAAAATTATCAATCATGAAACTTATACACACTAATAAAACAAAGTTTCAATGCATTTGTATTGCTTGAACAACGAACGAAGCTCGCCTAAAGTTTCATGCTTTTTCAACGTGTTTCCTCGTTCAAGTATTTTGTGGAAAAATACTTGGGCTATCGATTGCGCAATAATATTTTTAGACGAGCGACGCGACGTATCACAAAGACGTTACTTAATTAAGATACAACTAAACAGGAATGAATCTTCGAGGAGAACGATATTGCTCGAAAATTTGGAAAATTAATTCTCAACAGACGAAAAGCTTTCTGAACGTTGAAGACAATTAGTTTATTAGATTAATTGAAATTAACTAGGAAGCACAGAATTAGTTTAGCTGTGCAATGCAATTAGTACGAGCAAGAAATTATTTTTAAAATTGCCTTCGATTAACGTTTGCATCAAGAATGTGTATTTATAAATACACGTTGATTTAGTAACAAAGGCGAAATGTTACACAGAGTGTTCTTTCTCTTTGGTGTAGCATATCGAAGCATTTTATATGAAAAATATTGAAATGAACAATTTCAACGTTCCAGTCATACGTAATTAATAAATCCATTTGTTATATCTTGGTTACTTACTCTAAGGTAAAATAGATTAATCATTTTGCGAATTAAATCGTCTCAAACGAGCATAATAGAAAAAAAGACAAAAATTTGCAAATTCAAAGTGTGCTTAATTCATGGCTGCGTTGATTTGTCATAATTTTGATTTCTTTAATTCGTTACGTTAATTATCATTTCAATTCCAAATAACAGGAACAAATAAACAAGAAAGCACAATGGCACAGCAATTTAATCGAGAATACTCTTTAAAAATAGCTATTCATCGTTTCTTCCTTAATTCAATATTTTCCGAGCAAACTTTCCACGATTCCCATAAATGAAACACTAATCATCGATAAAAGAAGTCCAAAACATACAAAAAAAATCCCAAATAAAGGAGAAAATTCCAAAATAATCAGCTTAAATACTCTTTCTAAGAATAACTACTTAGTTATTCTAATTTCGTTACACTGTATAACGAAAACACTTTTAAAAACAATATAATCTATATTAGGTGCAGAAATGAATTCGTTCCAATATTTGCCTAAAATCAGAGTTTTATTAAAAGAAATGAAAACAGATCAATCGTCGGTATAATTTCCATTATCGTTGACGACCAGTTGCCATTTTTCTGCGATTACAATCGCAACGGAAACTCGGTGGCTCTCAATTAATTATACGAATCCAGTCGGTAGGAATTCACTTCTACATTTTGCCTTTATATCGCGCACGCTAAAATCATATGCTTCAAAGTTATTCAATATTCGGCTTCTGCACGGATTTACCTGTACATGTCACATAGGAAGCACCTATTCAATCATAAACAACGGTTGAGAAGTTTGGACATTGTTTGCGAATGAATGTTGTAGAATGCAATCACGACGTTAGAAACTTGACAAAGGAATTCATAAACGGCTTACAATTATACGGTTTGAGGGAACTCTAAGCAATTTTCGGTTACTCAATGATAATGGCAGTTATAATATGAAAGTTCACACATCGAGTGACTGTTTGCGAATGATTACATCACGTCTGTGTGTCGCGAAAGAACAAAGACGTGTTAAGTTGGAAAGAAACTTATTATTAACACTCCGTGGGCAAACTTGGTTGTTTACATTTAATTGTAAATCTAACTGTTTTACTGTTTTAGACTTTCAAACGATCTGAAACAATTTTGAGGTACTTATCAAAGTCTCTACTATAATACGTTATGTAATTGCTTGTTAAGTCAAATGTTCAAAAGCTTTTTCAGTAAAAGTAACAATTCTTTTCGAGAAAATACAGGAGTGAAGTTTCACTTGGATCGTTAAAGACCCAGATTGCCAAGAAATTGTATTAGAAGATGCATTATTTACACAAAATACGCAATCTAACGAGCAATTAAAGTTTCTAATGTGTTTCAGCTTCTAACTCGCGTGTATCTTGCGAACATTTAATAAACGACCACTGTCTTGGAACACGATATAGCAAAGAATTAAAGTGGCTATTTAGAGTCGTTAAATAAAGATCGAAATTCAAAATATATTTATAATTCACAGCGATCAAATTTAATTAGTCAACAGCAAAAATATAAGCTTTCAATTATCATTGAACGTACAAATGTGAACCACTTTACCAAATATCATTACATGCATTTACACTTTTCTAAAAAATTGTAACTTGAAAATTTCATTTTTATAGTAAATATTAGATCATCCCATAAGTTCGTGCCGAAAGCGAAAAATACTTTAATGAAAATCCAAGGAAATTCTGTAGCGATGACATAATATCGTTACCAAAGAAAATAGGAGAAAGTTGTGTAACGAGAAGGCGCTTAGTTTTTTTTTTTTTTTTTATTATCGTAAAGGTTTGTTGAGAATCTTGATCTAATTTGTAAAATTCGACACCAACTTGTGGGATGACCTAATATATCTATGTATAGCTTAAAGAGACCTCGTCTGAGGTCCAAAATGCTTAAATAAAAAAAGTTATTTTACATTTGATATATCACGAGATTTTCTGCGTAATAATAAAAATATGAAAAGAAGAATATTCTACAATAAAATTGAGAAATTAAGCAAATGATATTAGCATGTGCGACGCATTTGAAGATTTAATGAGATTAATTTAATACTTTATGACACGTGAAATTAACTTCGAGTTCGATTATTTCAAACAACTTGAGGCAAAAGTAAAAACATTAAGAACAAGTAAATACTATTTGAATTTTAAACATTAGAGAACATTAAAGTCCTCTCTATTGATGTCACTTTCGTAATATCGACACTGCGAAAACAATTGAAATTTGCTTATTCACTATAAAAATATAAAAAGTTTTATTCAAATTTCAACAAGAAATCCACACTTTCTTGGGTTTTTCATTTTCTATAAATAAGACTTGCAATGACTAAATTGGAAATTGTTTGAAATGAAAAAATCCAAGTTGTTTGAATATGCACATTCTTTAAAAGCCATTGGAAAACAATTTATATAAACATTAATTCTAAACACTTCAGTTTCCTTAGCTTGTTGTCAAATAGACTTCTGCATAATAAGGCAGAGTTTCGAAATTGAAACAGAGAACTCAAAGTATAACAACATTTGAGTGTAACGATGTTTTAAAGATGTTTTTTAAATCATTGCAATTTTAAATCATTATATGATTTCTGTAGCATTTATATAAATCAACGAAATAAAATTATTGTATCTATGCAAAAATTTCCATAGCTTGTAAATCAATGGTGCTATTTAAAAGGCACTGTATATTTCTTTCCTTTTTGAAATTTTCACAGCTGGCATTTATGACAGTAAGTATACAGTACTAATATTA